AATAGAGTAGAGGAATAAGAATAGAATAGAATAGAATATAGAAAAAGAATACAATAGAACAGAACAAAACAACAGAGTTGGAACGGTCTAGTTCAATCTCCTGCTTAGGCAGGAAACCATTTCAGACAAATGGTTATCCAACATCTTCTTGAAAACTTCCAGTGTTGGAGCATTCACAACTTCTGGAGGCAAGTTGTTNACTCCCAGAATTCCCCAGCCAGCGAATGCTGGCTGGGGAATTCTGGGAGTTGAAATCCGGACATCTTCAAGTGGCCAAGGTTGAGAAACACTGCAGGATTACAGCTCCAAGGGCTATACTCACAACTGGAATTTCTTTCTTTTTACCCTGTTAGAACAATTTAAGCCACAATGCTACAAATCTCCCTCTAAGGTTGGCTGGGAGAAACGCAGGAGATGGAAATGTGTGTAATGGCCTCGGTTTAAATAAGAGTTTTTCAAATTTGACAAATCTGAATTATGGGAGCGGACATCTGAATGTCTTAAAGTTGCCGCGTTTGAAAACATACTCGTCTAAATTACAAACTGATCAAATTGTTTTCGGTCAGTATCTGAGTTCATGTATTTTTAATGAAGACGGCTGTTAAGCCTAGTTCCCTTTGCATAGTTTGGAACTACGACTAATTGATTCATGCTGGGAATTATAGTCCAAATTCTTTTAAGAAGGCGCTACATTAGGAAAAAATCGGATTAATCTATCATGTGATTAGTCCACTATGAATATTTTCCCGTTTAGGTGAGAAGCGGGAATTCAAACTCTTAAAACGTGAGTCCCGCTGAAGATCAATCAAACTCTACTGTTTAACAGACCTGGAAAAAAAATAGCAAACAAATATTCTGCTAAACTTTGCAATGTTTCAATATTGAACTTTTCCTTGCAGATGCTCCTGTTTTCCACTTATAAAATAAATTTCCCCCAAATTGGCTTTCCCCATCCTTGTAATCACAGGATGTATTTTGGCTTAATTTTCAATCAGGTTGCTACCTTGACATATCAGGTCAAGTATGAGGTCAAGAAAGATATTTCCAATCCCAATCAGAGATTTTGTTCCTAAATACACTAACAGGCAAATACGCTAACTGCCCACTGTTTTCACAATAGTCTCTTCTATCTTAACATGCCATCCACCAAGTTTCTACTAAGGAAAGTTTCACCTTCCTGCCTGGTTCTGTTTCAGAACAGAGTTTGAGGCGGTTGGGTTAATTCAAGGTCACTGAGAAAACACACCATCATTTTATACTGCGGAATAGCCTTTCTTCTTTAACAAAAATTGAGAAACAGAATCAATGAAAAATGCCAAGATCTACACAAATTAATTAAGAAGCAATTCTGAGAAACTAGACAAAGAGACAGCTCTTCAAATCCCATTGTTTAGCCAGGAGACTATATAAGTTTTTTGGAAATAAATCACAGCAAAGCACACACTCTCAGAGCCTGGGCCATAAATTATGATGGTTTGTGAACTACTTCCATTTACTAAAAGGATCTGGCAAGAGACACTGTGCCCACTCAACTCACAAAATATATTAAAATGCTCTGGATAAAGATTACCTTATTTATTGCCACTTCTCTTGTACAGAAAGAACAACTTTTTTTAAAAAAAAACCCTCAAACAAAATTAAAATTAAGAAAAAGGCAGCATTCCATTTACAATGTGGGTTTTCATCACGGTGCCTTTGGAAACAATGCTACTTAGGAAATTATAAATTGATTATATTTCAAATAAAAGAAAGGAGTCAATTTTTTCCTTTGCTTTAAAGAAGGTTGGAGGTATCCAAGAATAACAATGGAAGGCAAATCATTTTCTAATGTAAGCTATACATAGGCAGTACCACACATTTCAGATCCTCAGGATGGCAGATAGCTTCCAATTTCCAATTTTAATAGATTTGTATGCCGCCCAATCCCGAAGGACTCCGGGCGGCTTACATAAAAACAGTTTAAAAGCATTTTTAAAAAAGTTTAAAATACAGAACAAAGATGAGTTAAAGGAGGACACAACATACACTCGATCTTAATGGGGCTGAAGATCAATCAAGGATCAACAGCCCCAGGCCTGCCGGAACAGCCAGGTCT